TCTGCCGGCTCGCCTCCCGGCGTGATGTGATCGCGGTCGCGGAGACGCGTGGCGCGGAGGATTCGCTCCCGTTGGCTCTACCCCCATCTGGCTGTGGGGCGTGGTGGCCCCCCGGCACGTCGCAGTCCGTGGGGGTCGGCGTTGTGGTCCGACAGGAGTTTCTCGACAAGTTCCTGAATTTTTGAATGGGCTGTCATATGTCCTGGCAGGGCCGCTCGACTCTGATTGAGGGGTCCGCAAGGAACGCTAGAAATAGTCGTTGGCTACTTTCATACAGGCCATGCGCCGCCGCTGCGCCCCTCGGAGGACCCGGGCGCGGATGCCGCGCGCCGCGCTTCATTGCACGGAGCGTCGGGGATGCGAGGGAGGCTCTCTCGGTCACCAGCGGCGATTTCCATTGGGTGGTGGAGGGCCGCGACCGCGTCTCGAGAGGCACCGGCCACGCGGCGGGTCGTCGCGACCAGGCCGAGGAGGCCCATTGGAGAAGCGTCCTGCCGAAGCTCCAGGCTCCAGGAGACGTTTTTGGAGGCCATGACGCGCGCGCGGCCCGCGAGGCCTTGCACGGTTTTCGCTGCCTACGAAAGTGGCGACAGTCGCGCAGGTGGCAGCCCTGGCGGGCGCCGCGAGTTCAGCGCTCAGCCTCCTCTCCCAGGGAGCCGAAAAAACCGTTGATTTACGCTGCCCTGCGCTCAGCCTCCCCTCCCAGGGAGCCGAAAAAGTGACGAGAGTTGCGGCGTTCTTAGCCCCCGAGGCATCCGCGAAGTCTCAGACGGTCTGCGCTGCCTGCACTCCCCCGTGCCTCCCAGGAGCCCGCGAACGTGGCGGCAGCCGCGCATTTCGCAGCCCTGCAGGGGGCCCGGAGGTTTCATGATTTACGTTACTGTGCATTCGGCCTCCCAGGAGACCGCAAAAGCGGCGACAGTCGCGGTCTTCGCGGATCCGCGAAGTCTCACATGATCTGCGCTGGCTGGCGCCCAGCCGTGCCTCCCAGGAACACGCGAAGGTGGCGACAGTGGCGCAGTTCGCAACCACCTGGGGGGCCGCGGTCTGCGCTGCCCTGCCTTCCGCCGTGCCTCGCAGGACTCCGCGAAAGTGGCGACACCGAGGGGGCCGCGAGGATGTTGTTCCTGGATAACTCTCTGAGAGCTCAGAGGGTTTCAGACTAGAAGCTGGCAGCACTGGGTGGCCCGGAAGCTCTTTGAGGCGCCGGTCAAGCAGCGTGGCAGCGGTTTGCTTGAGTTCGCAGCTTGTCCCGAGAAGCGTTTTCCTACTCGTTTCCATTGCGCGTGCCGGAAGCCTTTCCGCAGCTCTTTCGAAGCTCCTTTCTCGAGCTTGCAAGCTCCCCAGACATCGTTTCAATTATTCTTGCATGCGTCCCCCAGAGGCATTTCACGCGCTTTGGATTGTATTGCTATCCAGGTTTTGGCCTTCTCAGAAGGCGGCGGGGCTTCCCAGCAGCCCTCCGGCCTTTTTGAGAAGCTTTCGGTGTCTTCGGAGAAGGTTTGGAGAACCCCCCAGAAGACCAGGGGCCTTCGAGCCCTCTGAGAAGGCCCGCCCCTTTCCACTAGTGATCGTTTTTTTATCAATTGTTTTGCCGATCGGCGCAGGCCCGCGCACCCCGCCCCTCCCCCTCCCCCTGGAGTAGATCTTGGCTGTTTTGGGCGCCCGTCTCAGGCAGGTGGAGTCTCCCCTCAGAGAACGCACTGCTCCAAACTCAAACAGCCGCACTGAGCAGAGGTCTGGAGCCAGGCCCCCCCTCCCCCTCCCTTCCGCCCAATGTCCAAGCGCCGCATGAAAAAGCGCTCCCCTTCTTGATGGGCCTGTTTTCCACCACCACCACCATAAGTTGGAAGGGGGGAAGGAGGAGGAGGAGGAGGAGGAGGAGGAGGAGGAGGAGGAGGAGGAGGAGGAGGAGGAGGGGAGGAGGAGGAGGAGGAGGAGGAGGAGGAGGAGGAGGAGGAGGAGGAGGAGGAGGAGGAGGAGGAGGAGGAGGAGGAGGACGAGAAGGAGGAGGAGGAGGTGGAGGAGGGGGTGGAGGAGGAGGAAGGCCCCCCCCCCCATCCAACTTATGGTGGTGGCGGCGGAAGACGTGCCCCCCGGGCTCGCCGCCGACCCTTGCCCTGCCCCCCCCCCGTACGCGTGCCGCCCCCGTGGCCCCTCGGCCGGGGGGCCCGTGCCGCGAGGGGCGGCGAGGCACCCCCGCCGGGCCTCTGCGCCCGCGGGCGCGCGCCTCGCGTCCCCGCCGGCGGGGCTGCTGGCGGCAGCACGGCGGCTCGGGTCAGATGCGACGAAAGGGGCGATTAGCCCAGGGGGGAGCAATACAATGTATCCAGGGGCGCCGATGATCTATGTTTTCGAAAAGGCTCCCGGGCGAATACGTGTAATGCCCGCCTCTGGGCTATTCGCCCTTATTGTCGCCGCCGATCGGGGCGCAGCTGCGGAGTCTTCGGGGATGTTCTCGCCGGAGGTTTTTGCCTCCCGTTCCGCAGCCCAGTGTGGGGGTCGGCTCGAGTCCGCCAGGGACGACCGCGCTGCTGGAGTGCACCTGGCGTTTGAGAGAAATCTCCTCTAGAGGGTGCGAGAGTCGAGGAACAATACATTGCACAAGCGTAACTTTTCGGAGCCCTGCGCGGATTTTGTGGATCGGCGTGGGCCTCCCCTGGCGGCGCCTCCTGCGCCGCCCTTGGCGCGCTCCGCGTGCCAGGGAGGGGGGTCCAGCGCCGATTTTAGCGCGGACCTCCGGTTTATCCGTAAGGGCTTCGCCCCCTGCCGCCGGCCCCCTCTCTCGGAGAATGGGCCATGGAAGAGCCATGAGGCCTTGGCGCCAGTATCGAAACTTTGCGAAGATTCGCAATCAGCAAAACCAACTGATCACAAGAGGGGTTACCACACCCGATTGGTAAGACGTGTATCTTTATGTTTATCCGTAAGGGCTTCGCCCCCTGCCGCCGGCCCCCTCTCTCGGAGAATGGGCCATGGAAGAGCTAAGTCATGAGGCCTTGGCGCTGTTGTGAAGCAGTATCGAAACTTCCTGCGAAGCCGATTCGCAATCAGCAAAACCAACTGATCACAAGAGGGGTTACCACACCTGGCGATTGGTAAGACGTGTATGGTGTTCGGGCTTGGTTACCACACCTTGCGATGGATGTGCGTGAAGGGTGGCACCGAATTTCAGAAATGTGCCAAATCCCTTGTGTTTTTGGACCCTGACCCCGCGGATCTGCGTAAGGGGTGGCGCCGAATGTCAGAAAGGTGGCAAATCCCCGTGTTTTTGGACCCTGACGCCGCGGATCTGCGTGAGGGGTGGCACCGAATTTCAGAAATGTGGCAAATCCCCTGTGTTTTTGGACCCTGACCCCGCGGATCTGCGTGAGGGGTGGCACCGAATTTCAGAAATGTGGCAAATCCCCTGTGTTTTTGGACCCTGACCCCGCGGATCTGCGTGAGGGGTGGCACCGAATTTCAGAAATGTGGCAAATCCCTGTGTTTTTGGACCCTGACCCCGCGGATCTGCGTGAGGGGTGTCGATTTCGAGCCCCCCCAGCAATTCAGACAACGCGCCCAGGGGACGCTAAAAATCCCGTTTGGGCCTCCCCCCCCCTCGCGCGGTCAATCAACTAGTTACAGTAACCAGCAAGAAGTCAACTAGTTACAGTAACCAGCAAGAAGCAGAACTGTAACACTGGAAACTACAAACTACAACTGGTACAGGAAACTGCGAATCACGCGCCTCGCAGCCTGGTGGCCCCACAAGGGGGCCGGCGGATTTCATTCTTTCCTCCTCGAGAGAGGAACCGGCCAGGTCCGTCTGAGAGGCTGCTCTCCACCACATTCTGGGAGGGCTCCATCACGAGCTCCATCACAGGCGCGACATTAATCGCGCAACTGCACAGCAGCCCATCACACTCTGTAGACCTCTGGAATTGCTGGACTGCAGGCACCTGCCGTCCAGGAATGCCTCATGGTCCAAATTCCGTGTGCGTCCGCCCGGCCGAGGGTTTTGGGTGGACCTTTGGGGTGGGGATCTGCACAGGGAGGCTAGGCAACCCGCAGGTCAAGTATTTAGTGTCGGGCTGTATAATGCCGCACACATCTAAACTAGATAGGATCAGGGCGTCGCGATAGGACGCCAACTTGAAACCACCTAGAGGAGGAGTTACCTGTAAAGAAAGGCGCGCAGGAGGAGGAGGAGGAGGAGGAGGAGGAGGAGGAGAAGGAGGAGGAGGACGAGGACGAGGAGGAGGAGGAGGAGGAGGAGGAGGAGGAGGAGGAGCAGGAATAAGGGCTCGGGCTAACGGCTGCCCCCTCGCTGCGTGGACGGGCGGGTTCCCGGCTCTGCCATCTGCAGCAGCGGGCCGGTGCTGCCCGCAGGCTGCGCGGCCATGGGCTGCGGACCGCCCCCTCTTCACCTCCCCCCTCCGCCTTTCCTCCCCCCTGTGGTACAGCCAAGACGCTGAAATAAGGAACAGTTTGGATTCGGAAGGGGCTCGATGTTCCTTACGTCCTTCCGCGGTTGCTCCTCTAGCCCTTCTCGTGCACCCAGGCTTTTTTGAAGCCGCAGAGGGGCTTCGTTCCTTATTGAGCGTTCCTTATTTCAGCAGCCGGACTGTACGCTTGTGCCAAGCGTCTCATTTGTGGGCGTGGCGAGCTCGCGGAGCCGCTTCCGGAGCGCAGCATCGCAGAGGGCGGAGAGGAGGGGTGGTGTGGAGGACGAGGGTGAGGGGGTCGTTGGAGGAGGAGCTGGAGGAGGAGGAGGAGGAGGATAGGAAGGAGGAGGACAACCTCGAATCAGGACGGGGGCCCGCGTGTCAGGGAGGAACACCCCCCGTATGTGTGTGGGGGGGTCGGCGGATGGACACGCTGGTGTGCATGCTCGTGCCCGTCGTGCTGCGCGTCCTCCTGGGGGGCGACTACGGCCAGGTGTTCTCGCGGCTGCTGCAGCCGCTGCAGTGGCTGCTGGGCCCTAAGGCCTACATCCGCACCGTAGAGTACACCGAGGGCGGCAACACCCGCGTGCGGTTCAACATGCTCGAGGATGCCCAGAGCATGATCGAGAGCACGGACAGGATGTTCGGTAGCAATGCGTCTTTGAGCGCATTAGCGTGCGCTGACGTCGGGTAATCGATTTTTGAAGCGCCGATCTAGCGTCGGTCAGCCATCCTCGATGAGCGTCGGTTAGAGTCGACTAGCGTCGATTTAGCGTCGATTAGCGTCCATTCGCAAGAGCCAGCAATATGGAATGGGAGGACCCCATAAGATGCCACATAAACAGGAACAATATCCTCCAGAAGGCCATCCGCCTGTACATGGCCGAGAGGTACGGGCTCGACTCCCTGGAGCTGGAGACCAATCTGGTTCCCGCCAGGACGCTCCCGTGGGCGCAGTCTTCGGATGGGGGAGCGAGGAGGACGAGGACGCGGACGACGAGGACGATGAGGAGGAGCAGAAGGATGATGCTGCTGCTGATGATAATGATGATGATGCTGCTGACGATAATGGTGCTGATGCTGTTGATGATGCTGATGCTGATTATGATGCTGATGTTGCTGATGATGCTGATGCTGATGGTGGTGATTATGCTGATGATGAGGCTGGTGGTGATGATGCTGATTATGAACATGATGTTTACGACGACAATGATGACGACGATGACGATGCTGACGATGATGCAGATGAGGATTATGATGATGATGCTGATGCTGATGATAATGATGATGATGCTGACGATGATGCTGCTGATGATGATGCTGATGATGCTGATGCTGATGCTGATGCTGATGCTGATGCTGATGCTGATGGTGGTGATTATGCTGATGATGATGCTGGTGGTGATGCTGCTGCTGCTGCTGATGATGATGATGCTGATGATGATGATGATGATGATGATGATGATGATGATGATGCTGATGAGACGGAGGAGGAGGAGGAGGAGGTGGAGGAGGAGGACGACAAGGAGGAGGATGAGGAGGAGGCTCTGGAGACTCTGGAGACTCTGGATGCCGAGAACGATGCACCAGGCCAACAACACTAATAATAGTGAAGGCCAAACGCTCAACGTTCGGCTTTCGCGAAAATTGGCACAGGTTTCTTAACACCGTTTCCATCCTTCTCACCTGAAGGACCCCGCCCCTGGAAGAGGTGCCTACGTTTGAAGTGCCTCGCGGTCCCCAGGGGCGGTCTCCCTCAACATGGTTTGGAAATCAAAAAGCGCCCTAGACACATATCTCGCAGCGCATTCAAAGCACCAAACCATTGGGCCAGTGCGCCATAAACTATGGGACGGATGGGCTTCTCGCACTCCTTTCGGGTCCCCAAGGCACGGAGAACCCGCCAGGCCACCCAGTCGAGCACGACTATCTCCACACCTACCGCACACCCGTCATCCCCGATACCTCTGAATGGAACGA